TGGTTATCCCCCTTTAACTTGCAAATTTTTAATATCTGACTGATAGTCTTAGATCAAACTAGTCAATTTGTATTTCATATTTTGTAGTCAAACACAAGCTCCATGTGTACAGAATGTACACATGGAGCTTGTGTTTTAGTTTAAAGGTAGAGGAGCTATCAGCCTATACCGACTTTACCCACAGTAGAAAATGGGGAGAAGAAAAGTAATCTGATTTAATAACAGTTTCATTTTTGTTTTTCTTTCATGACCGAGAAAAGTGTTGTGATCAATTTTTATGTTCCACATGTATCCATTCACTAAATATTTTGGGTGTTTGAGATCTTGTTAATATTTGTATTTGAGAAAAGTGATTTTGCTCACATCTAGTTATAATTTCTCTTGCTGATCTTGAGTTGCTGCTGTTGCAAGATCTTTTTGGAGTTTTACTTTGCTCTGCAGGTAGTTTGTAAAATATTGGCAATTTATTCTTCAGAAATCCACAAAATGTGATTTTAAGAAATCATATGTAATAATAGGAGATATCAAATATAGTCGACCCCCCCCCATAACACTGTTGATAATTCCGTTTTATATGAATTCCATGTTGTACGAGTCACTTAGATTTTACAAATACATGTGTCATTCACAGCCCGGCACGTGTATTTGTAAAATCTAAGTTACTCATACAACATGGAATTCATATAAAACGGAATTATTAACAGTGTTATAGGGGGTCGACTGTATAAAATTTCAAAAATTTACTTAAGTGAAAAAATAAGCAAATTTGAACTGTATACTCTTGTCATGAACAAAACATTACAAAATTTGAGTAATTTGTTTTTTAATATAACACCCTGAAAATTAAAAAAATGTTTTGTTTTTTTTCATTTTGTTAATAAAGGTTTTGCTTGATGTACTTAACTATATCAAAAAAAGTTCTTATCTAAGATCTGAACAAAATGAGAAATAAAGGTTATCAAGCTTGAAAGCTACTTGATCAAGATTACAAGTGCTATCAGTAATAAGTTAGAAAATGCAATTGCCAAGATGTTTTTTAAACCTATAATTATGCCTTCATTTCCACAATTGTCCTGAACTAATGTTGTTATACTGTATACATAATGTATATGTTACTGTGAAAGACTGAAATTGGAGAATGTCGACACACACAAAATACGTCGGTGAAAGACCGAATATTTGGTTATATTATTATACATTCGAACAATTGCTGGTGTATGTCAACAAGCACATGTAAGCTTTGGTGGAGGTCGAAACGACACCCAAGAAGCTGATGTCAACAGAGAGGCAACAAGTCTGTTGTCTCTCTGTACAAATTCTTTGCTGTTTCCTTCTGCTCAAATTGGTGATTCTGTAAGAATACAAGTTCCTTATGTCAACCGTGGCCATACAGATGCCCGAAATGTGTTGGCAGTTGTAGTTGGAATAAAAGACTGACTTTTATAAATTAGCAAACAAAAATGGTACCCTTAAACAGCTTTATACCTGCAATCAGTTCATAATTTGTAAAGAAAAGTTACTTTCCATAGATGAGATTTCTTCTCAAGAAATATCGCTGAGAGAAGCAGCTGCAGCTAATTCGAAAAGTGGAGGGCAAGCCTATACACGCTGTTATTGCAAAGAGAAGTGTTCCATGAATAAATGCAGTTGTAAAAGCAAGGGACTCTTGTGCAATTCAAAGTGCCATAACAGTTTAAGTTGTTGCAATAAATAAGATTATATATCGTTAATCACATAATATATGTGTGTGTGTGTAATTTTGTGTTATTTTTCTTTTCTGATTAAGAATGTACTGTTTGTTTTAGGTTCAACAGCTTCTTTACATGTTCTGTTACTTAAGTTTTTTCCTATTTTGACATTAAAAAGTTGCATTTTTGTCTTAACGTAATAAAAATGTTTATTCAACATTCACCATCAGTGCATGCTCAATGCCAACATTTGCCAGAGTAAGTGAGAAATAATGATATTTAGCAAATATTTTGTACATACACAAAACGACTGTGTGAATGCTGACATTCACTGGAGAATCTCGACATTCGCCAGATATCGGTCATTCACAGTAACATATATATTGTAGATTTTGTGTTCTTATTGAAATTAAAAGATTAACTCTGAGTTTTTTTGCATAGAATACAGTAGAGTCACGTACAATGTGGGGAAACATTGCATGTTATCGAAACCTGCAGTATCACATGATTTATGCGGGTTTAAACACAGGCCTAAAAGTTGGGAAAAAAAAAAAAACGTATATATCTGAACAACAAAATTCGAATTTTGCATATGCACTAGTTGCGCTTTGTATGGGAGTTTGTTAAACATTCATAATTGAAAATACAATTATGATTACTGTACACATGTACTTTTGATAATTTACAATTTAGATTCTGGTCAGTGAGTATTTGGAACAAGAGCAAAACATTTTAAAGAAAAACAAACAAGAGAAAGTAACCTGCATTAGCACATTGTGTGAAAAGAAGACTCCTACTATAGCTGCTTATGCTACATTATCATGGTTTGAAATTAGCAGTTGGCTGATTGTCAGGGAATTCAAAATTGTTTTGACTAGCAGATTTATCTCCAAAGATGTCCAGTAGGCAATCTCATTTGTTTTTTGATTTTTTTTTCTCCCCCTCATACTTTATCTATTTTATCCTATTAAATAGTAATAAGTACTTTTTAGCAATAGTAATGAAAATAAAAATTCAAATGAACTTTTGGTTGTTCTGTCAAATGCCATCATGATGACAAATCCAATATAGGTGCCATGGATTGTGAGAGAGAGAGAGAGAGCTTGAAATATTGTAAAATATTTACCAGTGATTCTTCATAAACCTACAAAATGTGTGATTTTTAAGAAAGCATTTGTAATAATAGAAGATACCGAACAGTTTTGCTTTAATGATTAATGGATGCTAACAGCTGATAAAATGAATTCTTCAATTCATTAATTAATTGTTTATTATTAAATATTACTCATGAATAATAATTGTATTTTTATTTCACTTAATCATTAGTTTTGTTACCTAATTAAAAAATTTTAGCACATGTGATGTTAATGTGATGTTTAATATTGTAACAGATTATAGTTTTCTGTATATTTTATTACAGAATTTTTTTTCATAGTTTTAAAATATAATTTTACTTTGTTAAACTTTTTTTGTTTATTTTTTTAACACACAAAAAGGATTTGTAAGTGATAAATGTTTTGCATTTACCACTTACAAATCCTTATTGTGTGTTCAAAATTAAACAAAAAAAGTTGTCTTATCTGCAGTATGGATAATTGGTTTCATTATAGGACAACCAAAGACTATAGTTGCCTGCTGGACAACTAGCAAAATTATAATAATTTCTAACCCTAATTTATGATGTGCAGTTTAGGGTTTCTCCAACAGGATCCCGGGAAATCCAGGATCTGGACTTTTTTTAACCCAGAAAATTCTTCTCGTCCTAGGAAATCCTGCAAATTTCTTAAAAATTCACTTTTTTCTTATTTTGTGTTAAAGTTGAGGAAATTTGCAAATAGAAAGTGTAATTAACTCATACAAATGTATTCTGACAGTTTATTTATTAATTTTAAGCCTGCTTATTAGGATTTTAAACTTTTGCTTATTATGATATGTCACAGATTGTCAATAATCAATATGTATCCTATTTGTGACAGGACTCTGAAAATTCGTTGTCAGAACCTGTAATATCTTGAATAATTGCACTGATGATGCCTTTATTTTTAACCATGCCCAGTAACTGCATTATGCCAGATTGTGCAAATTGGGCAAGGATACAAACGCGTATGAAGTATGCAAGTACAGTAGAGCATCGATTATCCAACCGTTCTAGTTGGCAACTTTCAAATGTCTGCTAGTGATGTGGCACTACAATATTTGGCTATGTCCTGGCTACTTTAATATTAATTTTTGCTAAATTTTTGTGTGTTTTAGCTGGCAACTACGGCTCGACCATAGAAGGGGGGCCAGTATTTAAACGAAACTTAATTTTCTAATTATGAGTGGTTGTTTGTTTTGTGGGATATAAAATAATTTTTAACGATACAATAGCGACGATTATTATTTAAAGTAAAAATTTGTTAGGCTTAACATCAATGAAAATTCAATGTGAAGTTGGTTAATAGCGATATACTATACTAATGTATTTTTTTCATTCTTTTCGGTTATCCGACCAACCTGAGTCCCCAATTGAGTCGGATAATCGATGCTCTACTGTATCAAGTTTTTCTTCATAAACCTGATTATTAAAGCCAAACAAACTACCAAATTATTGGGCTATAAGCTTGATGCCGCTATTAAAGCAGCCAAGATAGACAAATCAAGAATACTAGACAGCAAAAGAAGTACAACGCATCTCAAAAATGAACTAGAAATCTTAAGGCTATGGGTGAGAAAACACAACCTCCGTCTTCTCTTAAATGCATTAAAGACGATTCCACTAACATCAATTAAATTGAAAAGGGCATTCTCGGTAGCAGGACTTTTCATTACTAAAATAAGAACTAGATAAAGTGATTGGAGTTTTGACATTTTTGAGTTTTAAAATCTTATTATAAAAATTTGCAGTAATATTATGTTTTATTTAAAAAATGAAAATTACCTTCTAAGTTAGAAGTTTGATCTAGGTTCANTCGCGGGTAACAGCTAGTAATGTAATATAATAGAAGAGTTAGAAGTTCGAAAGAATCTAATATTCTTAATGTTTGTTGTTATTTTTTGCCCGAGCAACGCCGTAACAAACTGTATCACCCTCTTCCTAATTTTAAAGTTTACCACCGAAGCGAAAACTCTTGACTCAACACACCGGTTTGGTTATATAGTATAAATAATATACGATCTTATTAGAAAATTTATTTTTCTAGCTATAATTTTACTTTCCAAGACAAAAACTAGTCAGATTATTTTAAATCGTTTTAAGATGCGCTCCAGCCAAAAAATAAATAAATAAATAAAAATTCGAATTGGCAACGTTAATTTCAGTTATGGCTGCAAAAGACGCAATTTTTTTCCCCGTAATATTAAATTTAAACGCTAGGGTTCGCACAGTCTATTGGCGCCATTAACTGAATCGGAAAGAAAGAACGGCAGAGGTAATGTTATAAATCCGTTTAAATCCTTAAAACTTTTTCGTAAATTATTCATATATTAAACAATTATTAATCCTTAATAAGTATTTAAACGAAATTGTTAATTATTTCTAACATTTTCTACTAAAAAGAAGGTTTTTATGTACATTTTTTTTTGTTAAATTCGGTTCAAATTTGAATGGTGATTCATTTTCGAATGATTTTTAAATTTTTGAATAAATATGCTTAGAATTACCTTTTTAAATAATGATTTAAAAAAATATAAGCTTGTTTAATTTAATAAATAATTGAAATTAAGCAAACGGGTGACAAAATAGTCGTAATGTAATTGTTTAAAGCAAGATTAATACAAATTTCGGTACGTGGTAATTAGTTTAAGGTTATTATTTGAATATAAAGAGGTAAATCCTGGTTTAATACGTAAAGGAATAAATCTTGAATATTTCCCAGAACGTCTTTATCGTTGAACACGTGATAAACTCCCACGTGGAAGAGTTTGAATTATGAGAAAATTGTAAATTACATTGTAAAAGCAGAACATAATCAAGAATTAATGAGAAGATCTAACGGTTTACCTTTTGAATAAACTGAAATTGTTTGAAGTTTAATGGTTTATATGAAAGATAATTTAAGATGTCAGTCACATCAATTAATAAAATCTAGATCATTGGCCTACCTTTTTATAAAATTCAGAATGAACTGTAAATATTGGCTTCACAAATATTTAAAATTTAATTTTGCAAGCTGCTGCTGTAGTAAGTGGTTATCTTCATATTTGTAATTTTTTTGAACTTACAAACACTGCTTCTATTACATTAATTTCATATTTGTAATTTTTTTTAATATGGATTTTACATAATTATTTTGTAAATTATTTCTCGATAAAAGAATTGTTAGTGAATTAAACTTAAATATAACTTATCATAGAGACTGAAACATTAATTGATGTATCAGTATCTACAGATAGGATGACGTATAATTGAAAATTGATATCGGCACCATTATGTTATGGCATGATAACACTGATGCCATCATTTATTTTTGTTGCATCATTGAATTCTTTTGTAATGATTAGTCTGCGATAAAGTGTGTCTCCAAGAGATAATGAAATTGCATTATGGTGTGAGTTCATTTTCAAGTATGAATTCTAATGTAAAACATTGATTTGTTCATTCATTTCCTTCCTATGTTTAATCATGTTTCAAATTACTTTAAAATAATTTATACTGTCAGTTTTTGTGTACTGTGTTTTTAGTCTTGTACTTGTTCTGATTTTCAATAGAAAAATTCTTAAGGCAAAGATGTGATTTTAGGAACTAACTATTCATTATATAGAAAAAATTGTCATTAACTATAGATGATAACTATATTGTTTAAGTTAGATTAGTCAGTATTTATTGTTCAGAACTGAAATTAAAAATGGAAACAAACTAATAAGGAACGCAATGATAATATGTGTAATTGGTGGAAAAAAAATTTTTTTTTATCATATTGTATTTAAATAATCACTGGATTTTCATTCTGGCTATAATATTGCAAATTAATTAGAAAGATATCTGGACTAGAACTAGGCAGTTAAGCCACTATATTTATTTCTAATTGTTAAATTGAATGCAAATTTATAGCTTAGTTTTAAAATTGTGATTATTTGAGATGAGTGAAAATTTACATTGTAAATATAAATGCAAAACAGTATGTTGTGTTAATTTCATAGGTCAACTATCCAATGACCCCAACAGTTCAGAGTGAGTAACACCATTGCTTTCTCACAAATCTCAAGAAAATATAAAAGATAAAATAGAATGCTACAATTGCTATAAAAGACGAAATCCAGATAATTGTTTCAAAAATGTTTTTTAAAACAAATGATACCTAAACCATCTAGTCATTCCACAGGGGAAAGCAGCACTGAGGAACACTTGCAAAATAATACAGCTGAAACCCCACTTTATACTAATATCATATTAGAAGAAAGTATAAAATTAGAAAAAATGCTAGCATCATCTAAACCAGGGTTTCTCAATGAGGGCATTTTTCCATGTTCATGGGGTGATTAGTAACAATTTATATTTTGGAGGGCAAAAAACAATTTTCTGGGTGCTATAGTAAAACATTATATTAAGAATAATTAGATATTTTATTCGTTATATCGTACAATAATTAAACAAATAACATTATACTAGTCACTAGTCTATTCAATGCAGTACGAATTTGACGTTAGCCTTGGTCCTCAGCATTGGAATTTTGTAGTGATGGGGCGACGATTCGTTAGAGGTTGAGAAACACTGATCTAAACTAAATGATAGTGAATCTAGGGGAAAAAATGTTTAATGCTTGAACAGAATATTACAACTATTGATTATCAAGATCAATCTCTCATCATTTTACAGTGGATTACTAAATAAGGAAGTAAACATTTTGTCTCTGTATGTGAAAGTTGTTTTGGACTGTCACTTGTGTGTTGAAATGATGAAAAATGAAGATAAATTTTTCTGTATTCATGATATTTTTAAAATAAGGAAGTGTTTAATAAACTGTTAGTTTATTAATACAACTGGAATAATTGCAGGTAAATTTCAGCTGAAGAAATGTCAATTTATGCTGATGATGTGAAACTAAAATGGGGATTTGTTAATAAAGATCTATGCTTCTGATTTGGAGTCAGTGAATTGACAGTTGATATTTCAAGACTGGCTTAATTGTGTATGTTGTACTAATAAATACAATTAAATGGTCGCAAAGGAATGCAGTTGAAAAAACTTGCCAGATATTTTCAAAGACCTAATGTTTGAAAAATATTTACATGCATTATTGACAAATTAAACCTTTCCAAACTTTTGTTTTAAAAGCTTCTTTTGTGTAGGTAGGTGTGTAGTTTGCACAAGATAAATCCAAATGTCTCAAAATAAATGTGTGATCCAATTTTTAACTGTTTATTAGACAAATACATCAGAAATAATGTTTTTAAAGATTGGGAATTTCCAGATCCATATTCCAATATCCTACAAATTAAAATATTAAACAACCCTTGTGTGTTGTTTAATTTCAACTAATCAGAAACACAAAACAAGTTCAAGCAAGTCTTTCATACAGAGCATGCACATGTTTTTTGTTTATCCAAGAATATAGTATACTTACTGAAGTTGCATTGGTTTCTCAGGAAACAGTTCAGTTGTTGAAAGATTTTTAATAACTTTTTGGAGTTTGAGAAAACTAGATTGACTTGAAATATCAGCTGTAATGAGTTATTTAATTATGATGTTAATTAAACCTGTGAAGAATTTTAAAATATATTAAGTCAGAATGACAAAAATTTGTGAAGAGAATTCATTCAAAAGAAAAATGTCAGCTAAATTATTAGCTAACAATTACCATATTTACTTGCATATAGGATGTGAGGTGTGACTTTAAAGATCAAAATAAAGAAAACTAGATTTATTAATACAATTTTAATTTTATTTCATTTAATCGCAAATAAAATATCAAATGCACGTAAATGCATACATTATCCTACAAAAATTAATGGCGTTTTAAACTTTAAGGAAAATCCTTGTAAAATCGACAACATAATTTGTTCATATGAAGCTGGACAATTGGGAACCATTTTTGCCAATTCTTAACAGTCTAATCCACTCCAACGATTGCATTTACGAGTTTCGCTGAATTCTGATTTCTGAATAATCCTGTTTTCACATGGGAATGGAATAAAACTTATATTGGGCTCCTGTATGATTTTGAAATTTCAATTTGGAATTCAATTCAAAAGCTTTGCTTTCCCTATTGCTATTCATCTTTACTCCTAACAATACGCAAGAATGATTCAAATGACCCAGATAAAATACTTTTGTTTTTAAACTCTGGTTAAAAAAAATTCAAATACTACACATGGTTCACAAAAATTATTGCAAAAATGCAAAGAATCCTTCACTTGCACGTGTAGGATGACCTAGGTTTTTGAAGCAGTGAAAAATGAACAAAAACCTCATTTAATATGCAAGAAAATACGGTAGTTTTTTTTTGTCACACTGAAGATATTTTTACTGCTTGAAAATTGGCTGCTTTAATGTAAAATTTATGCCATATTTTCATATTTTGTGAAGAAAATGTTTAACATTTAAATTGAGTTTTAGATTAGTAAAGCTAGAACTTTATATATAATTTTGTATAGTTAAACTGTTCTTAGGTTTATATTGTGTGTGTGTAATATATATATATATATAATGTAGTTAGGATTATTTTATTTTGCACTACAAACTTAAGATTTTAAAAAAATTTTAAGGAACAGATCATACATGCAACAAGTTGTTTCCTCCTAAAGTAAAGCAACAGTATGAATATATAATGGTAATTGTATAGAAGAACCTTTTACATAAATATCTTAATACTTTTAAAATAACAAATTGGGATAAAAATGACATTCTACTGCATTCTTGAAATTGAGATGACAACTGCAGCTTGCTGTCATCTGGGGATTGTTTTGTGAACTCTTATTTGTTGGATATATGCCAGTCTGTTGCAATAAATTGTAGTACAGAAGTGAATTTGTCAATTGTGCTGGAACTTCAAATGCAATTTATCTCAAAACAGCATTTGAATGGGTATATCATTTTTAACCTGAGTTTCTCATTCATATTATACTTTTAAAATGCAATGTTTTTTATAAATTTGTATGTTTAATCTGTAATGGCAACATTCGCATATTCAAAAATGAATAAATTAGAATTATACAGAAAAAATAAAAAAATTGCCCAATTCCAAATAATTGTGTGTTAATCTTAGTCAAGCCTTGGGTTTTGAACCTTTTGTTCTTAAAAATTCATCAAAAACCAGTTTATTCTAAAACTGAAACAAATTTCCCATAAGAAACAATATAAAATGGCTTAATCCATTCCAGACTCCTAAAACAAAATCCCCCCCTTTTTTAACTATGTCATACATAAAAATGCATATAAAGGCAATATAATAAATAAATATATATACAGTGGTACCTTGGTATACGTCTG